TGAGTGAAAATGAAGCAATAATTGAAATTTTCCTGAAGCTGGCTGGAATCTTTGTTGCTCAAAGTAGACCAGAATTTGCTCTTGCTGGCTAGAAATTCTGAATACCCTAGAGCAGTGCTTGCAAATCTATGACACATGTGATGTTTTTTCTTTTAAGACAAAAGATGTTAATGTATCAGTTTTTTTTTCTAAACTAAAACCTCAGTATTCAAGTTTAATTGTAGCGTTGGCATTTTGATAAGAAGGTTTTGGGTTGTAGTTTGAGCTCTATTCCTACAACATTTGCCATCATTTCTCTAGAGGAAAAAGTTGAAAGAAAAAAGGAATTAGAAGAAGATGTTATGTCAGTGGAAGAAAAAGCCAATGTACACCTCCTCCTGGGCATGTGCTTAGATGCCGATGCTCAATACCTTCTGTTTTCCAAACAGCCATCATAGGCACAAAGGAAATATGAAAAAAGCTCTGTGAATTTCTGAAGAAACACAAGGAGAAAGACATCCACAGACCATTATATTGATGAGTATCCTGGCTACTACCTTGGATGCACAGGGCCATGTTGGTGAGGCCTATGTTTATAGGCAAAGGGCATCAGATCTGGTAAGACAGATAAATCATTCTGAGCTGCTCATGGTACTCCATAATCCAATAGCAATTTTGATACTTAGAGAACAGTCTACACAAGTGTTACCAGGTTTTTGGGGGCTAGAGTCTCCTTTTGAAGGTGGTCTCTAGGTTCTTTCTGTTGCAAGGAAACAACTGGTCAAGTGCAAATGGTAGCAAAGTTTTATTAAAGGTAGGAAAAGAAACAGCTCTGCAGAGCAAGTTTGGGCCAAGTAAAAGTTGAAAAGAAGTAGAGACTATAGCATGATGGTGCACATCATGCAAGAAGAAACACAGTGCAAAAACTCAGTGTAGACTTTTTTTTTTTTTTTTTTTGTGCTGGGAATCAAACTCATGATCTTGCACTTGCCAGGCAGGCACTGTGTCACTGAGCTATCTCCCCGTGGACTGTCCTTTTATATCACCCACTTTTCAGGATGACATCAGGTCTAGGCCATCCTGTTGAAAACCTGCTGGAGTTCTCTTGAGAGGTCCACATGCAGGGTTTTGGAAACTTTTCTGCATGTGTTCTGGGACCTTGCCACACCTTCCTCCCCAGCCTCTTTTAGCCATGCCCTACCTACTTGTCTCATTTCCCCCTGAGAGACACATATACCCATAAGTCTTTATGGGGTGCTGAGGGAATAAAGGTCTCTCATCTATTGCTTCTTCAAGCTGGAAGGCTGTAGACCCTACCTAGTGGGGATTGTACACTCTCCAGCTACCTTGGTGTGTTGTGGCTCACTGGCTGGGTTGAAGAGAAGAGCTGTCAGAAGACAAGGAAAGAATTAGTGACTGTTGAGCTGCCTGTTTGATGAGAAAAGACAAGTAACTTTACTATTATGTGGGGGTATAGACCCAAATATGAAGAACAGCTCAGATGTCCATGCTTCTTGTGGTGGACGAAGTATGGCAAAGAGAGGTTAGACAAACGATTGAGAGCCCAAGAAGCAGAGCCTTAGCAAGATTACCCACATAATGGATCTAAATAAAAACTGGCCTCAATAATGGTGCACATTTAAGCTGTGGTAAATTAGGGTCATTAGTGACTCTACTTATCTGTACCAGGAGTGGTACTGGAGTCTTTCTGAAGAGGAGCCTTGGGTCTTCAGAAGTTCTCAGGAAGAGCTTTTTTTTTAGTCCTGTGAAAATTCTAGTGACCGTTTCCCATGTAAGATTTTTATAGTTTGTCACTGAATCTCTTGGGGAAGGACAAGAATAGTTCTCAAGAACTGGGAATAAGGCTAGGGTCTTGAGGGGCTGTAGGGCTGCCCTTGTATCCTTATCAGCCTTTTGATTTCCCAAGGAGAGTTTAGACATGTTTCTTTAGGATCCCTTGGGATGGGAGTGACAGCAACCTGCTTGGGAAGGACTACCTCTAAGGGTTCTGGAATTTACTACTTGTGTTTTATAGGTGATTACTTATTAGTTAGCAAGCTCTTTCTTTCCAGATAACTGCATGGGAATGTAGCACCAAAAAAGTCATACATAGTGTCTATATAGATATATAGCTTCTTGCTTTTTCCTAATATCCATGCTTGAGTAAGAGCTATGACCTCCACTTTTGTTTTGTTTTGTTGTTTTTTGAGGCAGAGACTCACTATACAGTTCAGGTTGACCTTGAACTTGCAGTGACCTTTCTGTCTCAGCCTTCCAAGTGCTAGGTTTACAGGTGTGAGCCACCACATGTAGCCGTTACCTCTGGTTTTTGAGCAAAGGTCCCTTGTGGAAGTTGGCCTCAGTGACCTGTTGTGAATAGACAACTGCATAGCCTGCCTTTTAATGTCCTTCTTGGACAAATGCAGTTCCATCACTGGACTGTACCTTCTCAGGGTCTTGGAGAGGCAGATCACTGATGTCCTGCCTGCTTGCATAGGTCTAGAATACCACTTGATATAAAGAATGGCTAACTTCTGGGCCTGTAGGCATCAGTGAGGCAGGATTAATAATAGTGCAAGTTTTATAATAACCTCAGGGGTGCATAAGAATATTGCCTGATACTTGACAAGCCATTTCCCAGTGAACCACAAGTAATCTTTGGTCTCAAGAATCACTCTGACCTGATGGGAAGTCAGGACTTCTAGTTTCTGTTAGCATGGCTATAACTGCTACTGCCCTCAGGCAGGATGGCCATCCAGCAGCCACTCCATGTAACTTTTTGAAAAGTATGCCACTGGGCAGAGTTCTTGTCTTAGCTTTGGGTCAAGACACCCGAAGCAATTCCTCTCTTTTCTGATATGTAGAAGAAGGATTTTCTTTAGCCAGGTATTTTATTTTACAGTGCAGCAGGATCCACTTTTTGGCAAATTTGGCCATGCAGCCCTAGTGTAGTCCCAAGTAAACTCCATTTTGGCCTTTGTCAGAATTTGAGAATTGCCCCCAAGTTTGCTTGTAAATCTCTTCCTACCAAAGGAATAGGACACTGTGCGATAATTAGGAACTCATTATTAAATATTTGTCCTTCAAAGTGGCATGTCAGAGAAAGAGTAAAGAATCTCTCTGACGAGGGGTCCCCTCAACCCCAAGTATGGCTATAGAGGAGGGTTTTCTGGCAAAGTCAAAACAGAATGAAGTATTGAATTGACTCACCCATGTCATCCAGGGTTACCCCGCTTACTTAGGAAATGGAGATGTTCGTGGACAGTGGCATTGCAGGTTTCCTTGTGTCTCTTTAGAGCAGGAATGAAGCTCTCTGGGAGCAGGGACAGTCAACCCTGCAGTGCCATGAGTCAAGCACATTGGCTGCCTCACACTTGGAGCAGGGCCCAGGCAGTGCGTTGGTGTAGTCGCATGCCCTGTGTCCAGACATCTTGCACTTGAAACAGGAGCTCTTTCCATTGTTATCTTTGGGTTTTCCCTTAGACAATTTGGGTGAGTTTAATTTTAGCCTTTCTCTTTTGACCCATCTCCAGATCTGGATTGTTGAACACAGAAAAGACAATTGGATCTCAGGTATCTAGGGTCCCATCTGAAGTTTCTTCATTAAACAGATGGGAGAGATGCATATCCCCCTGAGAGACAGATGGGGATCCAAGGTCAAGAACATCAAAGATTCTCTTTTCCTGAGGGGTACTCTAAATATTATAGTTTCTGGGTTTTTTCTGAGATAAAGGGTCACAAAAGCCTGAACATAAAGAATTTCTATGTTTTAAGCAGAAACACTTTAACTGAAACAGTTTAATCTGCCACACTGTACCCAACCCATTGGCAAAAACTCAACGTGGACTCTCTTTTTTGTATCACCCACTCTTCAGGCAGACTTCAGGGTTAGAACATCCTGTCAAAAACCTGCCTGAGTTCTGCTGAGAAGTCCGCATGCAGGGCTTTGAGGACTGCTCAGTGTTCTAGGAACTTGTCATGCCTCTTTTCCCAGCCAGTTTTAGCCACCTCTTACCTTTCTGTCTCATAAGTAAAAGAAAACACTGAAGCAAGCAGAGCTGAAAGGAGATGATGTTTCTGTACAGCACACAGGAAGAATTATCTGAGCTGTTGAGAAAAAGGAAAGCTTTGACTTAACTTTATCTAGCTCTAACTCTGTTTTTGTTGTAGTGAGGGTAATTTCTGGTAACCCAAGGGAAGGGTTATTCCAGTTTGTGGCACTCAAATCCATGGTGTAAAATCAGTGATGGTGAACCTATGGCACAAGTGCTGCAGTGAGTGGTTTGTGTCACTGAAAGTTTTAAAATGTTCACCATCACTGGTGTGAATCCTTTGTCCTTTTTTTTCCCCTTTGCTCTTGATATTTGGGTTCCCTCAACTTAGCCTGTGTGAAGGACAAGTTTTGTTTTTTCTTTGGGTCTTAGGGATTGAACTCAGGGCCTTCTGACTGAGTTATATCTCCAGTGCTTTTTATTTTGAGACATGGCCTCACTGAATTGTGCAGCTGGGCTGGAACTTGTGAGTATCCTGCCTCAGCCTCCCAGAGTGCTAGGATTACAAGCATGAGCCATCACTTCTGGTTCAAAATAACTTCCTTAGTTTTCAACCCCAAGCTGAATGTCATTGCTTTGTATCACAAACATGTACTAATAAAAAAAAACCTACTTTATTGATTGTGTGTGATTTGGGTCTTTTATATTTTTTGTCCTTTTGGCTGTTTTTTGTTTTTTTTTCTAAGTCTCCTATTTAAAATTTTTCTATTTCTCCTTATATCTCCTACAGTTTTTGTCTTGCATCGATGGCAGTTCAATTATTTCATGTGCTGATATTTATGACCGTTATATATGCATTGTGCATTTTGATCTGAAGCCTGCCAAATTAGAAATAATCATCACTTAAACTTCCAATCAATTTAGTGTTGGTAAAAGTACAGTATAAGAACAGTGAAACATTTGATTTGTCTTTCGTCCTACTCTCATTTCCTCAAAAAGAAAAAGCCTTTCTGTTTTATTTTCAATCAGCAGTGGTGAAAGAGCTATCTGTAGACTCACTGGAAGAAGAGTTTGAGAAGGAATTCTCATTTCTGAACAGTCTCCTAAGTCCTGGTTCTTCAAGCACTAGTGAAGTTGCCCAGGAATGCCAGACTTCTGAGAGTCCCACTGCCAGTCTCACATCCCAGGAGGCTTCTGTGGGGTCTGAGCCTCTTGCTCATTCCTCTCAGTTCCTTCCTTCACAACTCTATGACCTTGGCCTTCATGCTGCTGGATCTTTCAAAAGTAAGTGTTTAAAATATTTGGACACATCCCTTATTCTATCTTTACGAAGCAGAACTGTGTGTTTGTTAATACCAGAATCAATAAAGACATCAATTTTAACTTTAGCACTACTAGACAAGGTCTGCAGTCATGCCAGTTAACTGGAAAAAATATCAAATACAAGTGCCTCTGGAATCTGCCAACAAGACTGGCACAAGGGCTGTTTCCTTGCCACACCCACCAAACTCCTGTGGTCTTCCCTGACTTTCTCAGGTGTCTGATTTACAACTCTTGACTTCAGTTACTGTTAGGTCAGGTGGTACTGTTTCTTCTATCAAACAAAATTTGGTGTGCTTCATTCCTGCAGGTTCAGAGTTGATAAGAGAAAAAGGAACAGTTTAGGTTCCAGGCTAACCTCTTGGGCAGGACGTCAGGAGTGGGGACTGCTGGAGCAAGCTGGGGTAGGGCTGTCCTGAAGAGAGGATCACCTGCTCCTGCTCATTTGCAGCTCCATCCTGTGTCCAGATCTGCACCTGGGTAGATCTGACATCTTTATTGGTTACCAAGTCCCGCCCATTGTTTCTAAAACATTTCTCAGATTTCCTTCTTTTCTCTACTCCACCACCAGAGCCATCTAGGGCCTCATTTGGTTTCCTGGGTTGCTACGAAAGAGTTGCTACAGGCCTGCAATCCCCAGTTCTTCTTCCATACTTCCTTGTTTCCTCAAGAAGTTTTTGGTGTCACCATCCTACTTTCATTATTAAATATTTTTTTAAAAGTACTATGAGCTCCAGGATAAAACCTGCTTTTCTTTTATATTAGGTTATGGGTTTCATTTTCCTAGAGTCCCTCCAAACCCTCATGCACTCACAGGTGGGACTTGGAGTTGATTGGATCATGGGGGTGAGTTACCCATAAGAGGATTAGTCTACTGATGAGTTTATAACTAAATACGATGTTAAGAGATGAAGCCTGGTCAAAGGAGGTGGGTGTCTGGCGTGTTGCCCCAAAGGGTCCTCCCTGCCTTCTTCTTGAGCTGTCTGCTTCCAGGCTGTGAACAACCTTTCTCTGCTACGCCCCTCTGTCACGCTGCCATGCCTTGTAGTCATCTGATTCTGGACTAAAACCTCTACAAATTGAGCCAAAATAAACCTTTCCTCCTTTAAATGTGGGTGTCAGGTATTATGTCTCAACAATAAGAAAGTAACTAGGACAGCTTCGTTCAAAATATTTTCCATTTCTATTACCATATTTAGAGCTTGCAGAACTCTCTGAGACGTCTCTGTGCTGCTTTTTTGGTTTATGATGTTCAGGAATGGAGCTTGGACATGAGCTTGAGTATCAGATTTCTAATCCAGTGTTTTCTCCACATCAGCTTACCTTAAATTCTTTCTCAATAATGACTCCTCTGGCCTCCATTGTGTGCGTTATCTGTTTTTATGTTTGTAGTCGTAGTTTATCTTGCCTTATATCCCTGTCTCTTACCCCTTAAATTTTATCCCTAAAAGAACTCCACAGCACCTAGCAATGTTTTAATGCCTTTATATTAAATTACTATGTTCACAATGTAACCACTTTCCTCCCTTTGGTTGAAGGTACAAAGACTGAGGCAACAGGATACAGCAAGCAGTGGGGAAGTAGGTATGGTTTATTAGAAAGAGCAAAGAAAAGCTCTCTCTAGATGAGGTGCGCAAGAGGATACCAAGGAAGCACATGAACCTAAAGTCTTACATCCACAGCTCTGTGGTGCACCTGAGAGGGAGACAAAGGGGAAAGGACAGGTTTGTTGCTGCTGCTTGCTAGGCTTCCTGTCACCAGCACATTTCATAAGATCTTTCTTTAGCAGCTCCAACTTTACTCAAGGCTTATCTCACCTTACCTTGTTTACTCAGTTTATTTAGTTTGCTCAGGCTTTGCCCTTTGTCCCTTTATTTTCTGGTCTCAAACCCACCCACCCGCTACAGTGGTAACCCTTAACTGCTGTTAGGGGTGTGGGAGCTTCATTCACTGGAGCTGCGTGCAGCTGAGAGCAGGGCAGCAGTCAGGGCCACCTCTGTCAGGCCTAGTTAAAAGTACTGAGTAGAAATTGGGAGGAGTGCCCACTGGTGAATCAGTTTGTATCACCATCTGTAGCATTAAAGCTATATACCCACAGGTTCCACGTTCCAGATCTGACCAACTGTGGACTGAACATATCTGAAAAAGTTATCTCTGTAATGAACATATACAAACTTGTTTTTGTCACTGTTGTCTTAAAATATAGTGTTACAATGTTTTACATAGCATTTACATTGCCTCAGGTATTAAAAGTAGTTTTGTGATGATTTAAAGTATGTAAGAGGAGGAATGTAGGTTATGTGTAAACAATATACCATTTTATATAAAGGACTGGATCACTTTCAGTATCCACAGGGGTCCTGGAACTGGTCACCCGTGGATACCAAAGGGGCATTCTAGATAAAAACTTGCTGCGCATCATATAGTTACCACAGAGTTGGGCTCACACGTTAACCGAGGCAGTCTGATTTTAGAATTTTATGTCTATTTGCTGTATTTCTCACTATTTTAGACTGGTTGGCATAAAAGCAACATTTTTTAAAAGAATAGACATAGCTTCCCCTATTTTTGCCATTAGGAAGTTAAGTATAAGTTTGATTTTTAAAGATCTTTTTATATGATGTGAATTATTTATTTGGAGACAAATTTTATTTATAAACATGTAAGTTTTTTAGTTCTAGCGATAAGAAGACTGAGGGCCTTGTGTATTTAAAGGATAATTCCAGCTAAGGAGTTAAAAGAACTTTTATTTAGTTGTTTCTGAGGCTATGTAGCTTCACTGAGTCATAATAGTGACAAACTATAGGTGTAGCTGGAGACCGTCAGCAGGACCCAGTATAGTATTTGGAACCCATTTGTATATGTATTATTAGTTTTTATATATCTTGTTGGTTATACTTTTTTGCTGAGTGTTTAAGACCAAGTTAAAATGAGATCTGTGACAGTTAAAATTAAGCTCTTATCGTATATCAAAGTCAGTTAAGGCTCCTCAGGAGTTATATGTACACAGCCTATTAGCTCCTTTGTCAGTGTCATCTGATAGGATGAGTGACATTCTTGCTTGACCATGCTTGACCACATGGCTTAACATAGATGCAGGGAAGACCTTTTCTTTTCTTTTTTGATGACCTTTCTTTTAGCACATGTATTGGTTGACTCCTGTCCTCTGGGGTCTAACAATCTTTTGTTCAAGAGATTAAGTGACTCACCAGAGTTGTAGGATCTTGTAGAAAGGTCTCCTCATGTCCTGGGTCCTTGTTGACCTTGGAGGCCAGTGCCAAAATATTTGTTCCCTTAGCACAGTTATCATTTTTAGCTTTGGTCACTAAGCCTCAGTTGTTGAATATACATGAGGTCAGTTACACTAGTAATGAAATGGGAGTGGCAGGTTTAAATATCTTAATCTTATATCAAGAACTTTGAAATATAAAGTATGACCAAAGAACTATTATTTTTTGTAACCGTAATTGTTTAACAGATAACAGTTATAAAGTTTTACAGAGAAAATTTACAATCAAGAGCAAACATAATATTTTAGCATAACAATTATATTGACATTATTAGGTTAGAACCATTGGGGTTTTTTTTAATCACTGAAAGTATATTTAAATTTTTATTTTAGTGTAGAATACCTTTTTACAAAGAACAACTATAGGTTATTACATGGGATATTTGTCCACTCTTTCCTTATTATAAAGCGAAGTTTGAGGCCTTGTCTTTTTAGCCTTTTAACTTATATTTGGAGAAAAATCAGTCTTTGAAAATCCTTTACACTGGCCCAAAGTTTATAAAATAAAACCTAACAGTGCTGTTTTGGGGACAAACACTGAGCTCCTTAAAGCATTTAAGGTGTACTACATGTCTTTAAGATCTCACTTGTGTACTTTAGGAGAGATATAAAGGGAGGGAAAAAAAAAGAAAACACACGGGATAGAGGTTTTAAATGTCTGGACATGTAACTTAATAACTGTAAATCATATGCTATTATAACACAATCATAAAACAATTATAAAAGGTTTGCCACCACAAACAACTGGTCTGGAAGTCACCAGTCTAATGAGATATTTTTTAGCTTTGCATCTTTGAAAGACCTGTACATTTGGGAAACACAAATACACTTAATACACTATGATGTTAGCAATAACTAGTGTCACAAGTATATACAGAAGTTTTTTAATATATTTACTTAGTTTTTATACTTAAGGCAGATTTTAAGCCTGCCTTATTACTATGTTATCCTTCTTTTACTCTTTAAAATTTAAGAAAAAAAAAGACCCTGTCTCAAAAAGACAAAACAAAAAAAAAAGAGAAGTGGGCTCATTGGCAGCTCACTTTGGGGTCTCCTCCTGTCTCTCAGGAGCTGTCTCTCTTAATAAATATTTCCTATGCTTAAAAAAAAACGGCAGATTTTAGATTTTTAACAGGTTTATAGGGTGTAACTGCACTAACAAGAATTAAGAAACGTCTTTAGACATCTTGTAAGTGTAAGAAAGAGTGCTGCTGACCACAGATAAGCTTATTACCCAACCAATACATGAGTGTCTCATTTATACAGCAGCAAGATATCAGTATATGTAGATCTGGCTTTAAACGGTAGGATGAAATTTAGAGTTGGCCACTTTTGATCCTTCTATATTTCTAAGGATTAGATATGTATTGTGTAAAAGAGAGCACTCATTAGTTACTTTGTATGTATTAAAGTTATTTAATTTTTACTTTATAAACTTCAAAGCTTAGACTTACAGAATATTTTGCTTTTCAATATATATGCTGTTATAAACTAAAACAATAGTTATTTATTTAGCAAGTCATGTACTGATTATTGAAAACATTTTACAAGTCAGCATTTAAATTAACTTTTTAAACTCAATTTTACTAAAAAGTTTAACAATGGAAAACACAAGAAACTAAGTACAATAGAGAACCTTTGGTTTTAAATCTAATTTTGTTTAACCACAAGCACTGTAATATCTTAAGAAACCCTTATTGTTTTAGACATAGAGAATGTAACCTTTTAAGTATAATCAACTCAAATATATTATAATGTATTTAATAACATTTTTGGGGTGTGTCACTATAAGACTTTGGAAAAAACCCAGAAAGTCTCACCAGTGGACAAAACTAAAACTGATTCATGCAGCTGTTCCTTTATCCAGAGAGGAGTCTTGTCTGACAGTTTTTCCAAGGCCAAGAGCCCACTTACTTACCTTAACAATTATTTTAGATGACTTGTGAGAAGCAAATTATAACAGTTAATACCTTTTAAAGTTATATATATTGGAACAGTCTCTGCTGTACAAAGAAGTGATTAGGAGAATCTAAACTCTTCTTGCTTCTGTGTTCCAGTTACAGCATAAATGGTCCTTTATGTTGTAACAAATACTCCCATGTGATCATAGAGAGTCTTCATAATGCCATTTTACATTACATAGCATTTTGTCACTTTATGTGCCACAACCCGCTTAATTCCTTCTTTATTGTTTCTACTTGTTCACTGTTACTGACAGTGCTGTAATCATGCATGTACTTTTCTTTTGGTTAAATTATTTCCTTACAATAAATTTCTAGGAATGCATTAACTGAGTCAAGGGTATCAATGTGTTTATAGGTTTCAGTGTTCTAATTCTCAGGCCTTCTCTCCCTGATTGCTTAGAACTTCTTGCCAGACTTGCATTTGCAGTTTCTGTTTAACTGTACATTTGTTTCAAAACTACTTTGAAAAAAATCACTTAGATGATTAAGTAAAATACATAACTGTAGATAAATTTTCAGTCTTTTCTACTTCTTATACTACAAAATAGTACCCTGGACAAAGACTAGAGTACTTAGACTATTTTAAAATAACCTTTTCTTATTTTCCTGATACTACTTCTTGCTTCATTAACAATGGATACTTCTTTCTTCCTACCCTCAGGCTGGATTCCTCAAAAGGGACTAGAACACATGGATAACCTGCCAGTGCCTTTACAGAGTCCAAAGAAATTAACAAGATGTAAGTTCTTTATTTATTTTCCGTGTTGATGTTACCTGCCATACAGTCTCTTTTTTTTTTTTTGAGACAGGGTCTCGCTATGCAGTTCAGACTGGCCTTGCGCTCACTTTGTAGCCCAGGCTGGCCTTGAACTTGCAAGGATCCTCCTGCCTCAGCCTCCCGAGTGCTGGGATTACAGGCATGCGCCACAACACCCAGCTCTATCAGCCATACACTCTCATACACTCAGGTTGTTTGCTCACCGATGAAAGGTCATATATTTGGTAAAAAGAATAAAGGATTTATTCAGGTTAGCTCCGAGAAGGTGGAGGAATCCAAATGAACTCTAGTCACCAACTCATTATCTACAGGTGGGTGGGTGTCGTAGCTACTTTTCTCTCATTGCTGAGAGAAAATACTCAACACACAAAGTTAAAGGGGAAAAGGTGTTTTTTTTTGGTTTTTCTCCGGTACCAGGAACCGAACTCACGACCTTGCGCTTGCCAAGCAGGCGCTTTTGCTGCTGAGCTAAATCCCTCTTTTCCTCTCCCTTCAGTCCCTGGTAACCCTTATTTTACTTCGTGTAACACACAGGGTGTGTGGGGGGGTGGCAGGCAGCAGAGACTACCAGGCTTGTGTAAAGGCAACGTGGCGTGGAATTTATTGTGCCTGGGTGCAGGCAGACAGAAAATGAAAAGACCTTCAGTAGGGAACAAAGAGAAGTGTGCCCCTTTTATAGGGGTGGATAGAAGGCAGAGGACATTAGGCAGGAATATTTTAATAAACATCTGTGGTCGAGTTCTCTGGCTGTCTTGCACCTCAATGGGCAGAATCCGTGAAGGTCCAGTGTAAATTTTCAGGTGTTTGCAGATGTCCTCAGATGTCCTGGGACCTGCAGAATTCCTTGTGCTATCTTAGCTCTTTATGACATCCATCCTTGCCCATGACAACTTCAGCGTGGAGCTGAGTTCCCTGCTTCTGCTGGGAAGCAGGTTGGGGGCTGGGAGAGTCAGGTCCGAGTCAAGCTTTACATTTCGTACAGTCTTTTACTCTCTATTTTATTAGCTTTGTTACTTTAGATATCCAGTAATACTTCTTTTGGTGACAGGCAGTACATTTAGCATAATGCACTCCAGTTTCATTTGTCCTGTAGCAAGTGACAGGATTTCCTTCCTTAGACTGAATAATATTCCATTGACTGGGATTGATATACTACATTTGGTTATCTGTTCATCCATGGATCGCATTTTTAAAATAGCCTTATTGAAATACAATTGACTCCCTCCATTGACCCTCAAAAGAGACCCCTCTTGGGGCTGGGGATTTAGCTCAGCGGCAAAGTGTCTGCCTGGCAAGCACAAGGTCATGAGTTCAATTCCCGGTACTGGAAAAAAAAAAAAAGAGACCCCTCTTTTCATCATGTACTATCAATGTAAATTTGTATGTTTTCAGTGGTTTATAGTCACTACTGTATTTAATCAGTTTTGTTACTTAAATTGTTCCTGGATTGGCCTGTGAGGCTGATTTCTGAATCTTTGTGGTATAGTACTTTCACATTTTGAAATAACTTCAGACCTACAGAAAGGCTACAAAATGTATATATTATATAAAGTATCCCTATATTTTCTTCACATAGGTTTCTCAAAGTGATACCATGCTTGGTAACTGTATTTCCCCAGACATTACCATGTTTATGTTCTGTGTTTGTTTATTTATTTATTGTTTTGAGACAGGGTGTCACCATGTAACCCAGGCTGGCCTTGAACTCACTGTAGCCCATGCTGCCCTCAAACTGTCTGCAGTCCTCCTGCCTCGGCCTCCTGAGTGCTGAGATTACAGATTGCACCACCACACCCAGCCATGTATCTTCTGAACTAAACTAGGTTAAATAGTAGACGTGATATTGTTACAGTTGAATGGGCCAGTAATAGTCCAGGTTCTTGTGTGTGATGGGGAAAGAGTTGCCAGGCATATACCCAGTGGTAAGTAGTAAGTAGCTACATCTGGTGAAGATCATGGGAAGAGTAGGAACAGCAACAGGAAAAAGGGACAAGAGAAAAAGGGCGGATAACTCAGGCTTTTTGCTTTATTTGAGGGCCAAACACCTCTGGCTTTAGGTGCCTTCCCTTGAATCTCTCACTGGTGCGTAGGGCATGCCTAGGCTTTTGTTATTTTTATCTCTCTTAGGATAATGAATGACTTGCTAGGCTCTGTTGTTTCTAATATTGTGGCGTGGATCCAGTAGATTCCAGGCTCTTACGTACAAAAAGCAAAGAACTGCAAAGTGTGTATCTCATGGTAAATAAAAGCAGCTACATTTATTTAAGATCATGGGAAGAGAGGCTCAGGGAAGATCTGAGCCAACAAAAATGTGGCATGATCAGAGGTTAACTCCCTCAAGGCCCATAACAGCTTTAGAATGGGATGAAAGCTCATGCTGATAAGAAACTAGAACAGAATAAATTGCACCAGTATCACAGAGGAATGCAACCTGTTTGCCTGCTGCATCTAAAGTTACCCCAGGCTCCTGTGGAGTAATTAGGATACTCTAGTGCAGGAGCCTCGTGTGCTGCCTCGGGCACCGTCACCACTCACCGTCTGGGCCTTCTTTCCTGGCCACTGTGGTGAGGAATGACTGTCCCTCTCTGGGAACAGGGCAGTCTCTGTTCCAGTGCCAAGGGTCTTCTCACATGTTCTGACAGGTCCAACAAGGGCTAGGTGGTTTCTGAGGGCATTCCTTGCACTTGAAGCACTCCAGCTTGTTCCCATCACTCTTTGGATTACCCTGAGTTCCCCCTGAGTTGCGGGTTTTGTGATGAGCCTTATCAAATAGAGTGAGCATGGCTTTAGCCTGCCTCCTCTCCTTATCCAGTTCTCATTTGCCTTCTATTTCATCAGTTATTAAACACTGAATAAGCTTCATCAACCAAATGGCTTATTTCATTTTGTGAGCTCAGTTAGGAGTTTGTGGAGCCTTTTCCCAATATCTGGAGTTGACTGACTAATAAAATCAGCCTTAGGATAATCTGACTTTCTCTAGACTCAGAGTCTAAATGAGTGTATTTATAGAAAGCCTCTTTAAGCTGAAGCTGAAAAGCAACTGGGTTCTCACTGGGGCCCAGACTAACAGACCTGAGCTTACAGTTCACAGGATTGGGCATCTCTTGTTGCATACCAGCTAAAATGGCCTTAATGTATAACTTGTTTAGCTACTCTACCACCTGTTATAATCCCACTCAAGCCCTTCTTGAGCCCCAAGTAATGCCACAGTTGGCTGATTATCAGAGAATAAAGGTGCAAAGGCTTCATCATCGACCTACTTTGCAGCCTTTATAATCCTTTTCCTTTCTACTGTTGTGTAAGAAAAAACGAGGATGAATTGGACATCTCACAAGGCCAGGTCAAAACCCATCATTAGGGTTTGGAAACTATCAAGAAACTTTCCAGGATCCTTAGAAAATCTACCCAATTTCTCCTTGCACAGTTGAATATCCATAACTGAAAAAGGAACTAGCACACAGGTTGTACCATTAGTGCCTGCCACTTCTCAAAGGGATAGAGCAGTGGCAGGCTCATAGGTAGGGTTCCCTGAGTGTAAGGCCCTATGGTAAGTAGACCTCGTATGGGAGGACTCAGGAGGTGGCCTTTATCTCCTGAGGGTACTGACTGAGCAGGTTGCCGAGGAGGTAGTCTGTTGGAAGAAGGAACCGACAGGAGTGAATCCTCAGCTACATCAGCTCCTGAGATGATGACTTCTAGGATACGGATCAGGCCTCTGATAGAAAGCCATAGAGGCTTGAATATAAAGGCTTGACCATTTGCCTTACTCCTTACGTACAGATGTACTTGAAATATGGCATATTTCAGACTGCCAAGGGGTTGCCATGTCTTATTTTCCCCAAGTGGGTACATAGGCCATTTATTGCTACACAGGGATATAAGACAATCTCTTTGAAGGGTCTTAGTGTGGGACTCATCCTAATGGTTAAGAAGACATCGGAGCAGGGACTCAGAAGGAATAGAAGAGGTGGTTCCCATCTGTAGACAGGAGGAGTAAAAATTAGGATCTAGGATTTTAGCAGTTGTACCAAGCTTTTTAGACACCACCACCACCACCACCACCACCACCACCACGAGTTGTCATTTTGGCTGGTTACAGGATTTGAGGTTGAAAGCCTTTTACTTACAGGACTGTTATGATATTGTCCCACTGACTTCTAGCATCATATGTGAGAAGTCTGCCTTCAACCAGATTCTCCTTCCTCTTTAGGTGATTTCTTTTCTCTCTGGAGAAGCCTTCAGGATTTTTTCTTTCTCACTGGAACTCCAGAATATCACCAAGATGTGTATAGGAGTGAGTGGGGATTCAGTGAACACCAACAACCTCAAGAATTGAGTCCTTCCTTAGCTCTGAAAAGTTTTCTTCAGTTATTTCTTTAATCCTCAGCTCTTTTTAAAATTTTTTTCTGAAACTCCTATCAAACAGATGTTGGAGCTTCTGCATCTATCTCCTCTGACTTGTAGTTTTTCTTTATCCATAGCTATGTAGCTGTTGTATTCTTAGATAACTCTTCCATTTGATCTTCTTCTAGATTGCTCATTCTTTCCTTGAGTATGCCTATTCTGCAGTGCAGATTGTCCACTGAATGTTTAATTTCTGAGATGACTAGATACTTGTATCCAGACTTGGATCCTTGTATTTCCCATCTCCGCTTATATCTCTCTGAAAATGCTGACCACTCTTCTAAAGTTTCCTTCTATTCCATGGAGTAAGCTTTCTTCGTGGGATATCAGCTTTTCTATTTGTAGAGTCTTGTGTCTTTCTGTTTTCCCTAAAGTCCTTGATTCCTGATGGAGCACTCATATTGTACATGAATTTTTTTTGTGCTCATCAGAACTTCTCTCTAGTGATTTTGAAAGAGGTAGAATGCAAAGTCATACAGGACATCCCAGTTTCTTGATTTGGGCATGGCTGTTTCCTCCTCTTCTTGAGTATTATGTACCTTCTTTGCCTTCTCAGA